CCCCGCCGCCACGCCCCCGGCACCAGCGCCCGCCCCCCCGCCGCCAGCGCCCGCACACAGCGCGCACGACGACGAGAGACATGAACATAATAAAGGTAGGTTTTTTTTTATAATGTATACAATAAGTTTCCACCGAAACATCGGACTGATGCTGAGTAGCGACACATTTTGGTGTATTTTTGTTTCCTCCGTGTAATCTTCCTTTCTTAACATTTAAAAAGTATGCTAGTTCGAGTGCTTAGTTACGACTTGAATAGTGAGAGATATATGATATTGCAGGTAGTGCCAAGTCTTCTAAGTGCGAAAAGAAAGAGGCTACGAGTACGTTAAGAGAAGAAAGAAGAAAACATAAAAATAGAGATAAAGATAAGGAGAAGGAGAATACAGATAGTCATAAGAGTACAGAACAGAGTAAGTTATTATTTATTTACACATAAGTCAATATAAGTAAATAAGTTATAGATAAATTAAAATTTTATCAACATTTTATTTTTATTTTATGATTATTAAATTGTGATTGATTTGATTTTCAGCAAAGGAACACATAGTTAAGGATGTAGAAAGTACAAAAGAAAGTGTAAAAAGTAATAAAGATAATAGCAGTTATAAGGAAAAAGAAAAAGAGAAAGAAAGAGAGAGGGAGAGGGAGCGCGAATATAGAGAAAAAGAGAAAGAGCGTGAATATAGAGAAAAAGAGAAAGAGCGCGACAAAGAGAGAGAACGCGAACAGGTGAGTATCATTCGGAACACAACAACAACACTAAAGAAAGGATGGGGAGGGAGAGTGGATTTGACAGAGAAGTGGACGCATAGGATGGAGAAATTTATCCTTTGTGTGCATTCTCTTTTCCGTCGATTAAAGCCTATCTTTAAAGGCATCTGTAATTGCGAACATGTATGGACAGCGGTCGCATCGCTATTTCGGTAAATTGAAAAAGATAAAAAAGTGTTCAAGTTTGAGAAAGGTACGTGTATATAAATGTGTGCGCGTGTGTGTGACAGCGGACGTTGCGGGAGTGCAACGAGGAGCTGCGCCGAGCGCGGGCAGAGCTCGCCCTGGCGCGCTCCGGCGAGTCGGAGGCGCGCCGCTCGCTCGCAGCAGCCGCCGCCGCAGAGAGGCAGCGCCGCGCGGAGCACGCACAGCTGCGGCAGGCACATCTCGCGCTCCAGCAAAAGTAACATTACGCACACTGTCTTCTTCTTCCTCTTCTTCTTCTCCTCCTTCTTCTATTACAAATATGTTACTTTTTAGCATTTTGAACAATGGTATTTTTTTTAAAATGGAACACAATTCGACCTCGAATGGATTTCATTTATTTTATATGCACTTATCTTTTTTTTATATATTACTTTAGTACGTTATATAAAATTGAATAGGAAAATGTTGGGATATGACATGTTGTTACAACGTGTGTCGTGGTTAGGATGGCGACATGGCGGGGCGGGGAGCGCGTGGCGCTCGAGCGCCGGCTGTCGGAGGAGCGGCGCGCGCGCGCTGCAGCCGAGCACCAGCTGCTGCGCGCCCGCCAGGCTGCACGCACGCCCAGGTACCTACACCGCACCAATACTACCCAAACATATTCATTGCTTTCTGCATTTTCAAACAATCCGAGAGTAATTTTCTATTTGTGCAATGACTCGATGTCATCACGTCATATGTTATATGCTTGTTATTGCAGCGGCGAGTGCGAGAACGAATGGTGCAAGTCGATGCGAAGCGCTTCGGAGGCGGAGACGGCGGCGCTGCGGAACGAGCTGCAGCAGGCGCGCGCGCAGGTCGCTCAGCTGCAGCGGGACCTGCAGCAGGCCGGCGACCAGGTAACACTTGCACTAACAACTTCTATCTTTGTGCTTAGTATACTTGAAGGGCAGGAAGTCATAGTGTGTGTGTGCGACAGGTGCGTGCACTGGAGGCGAGGCAAGAGGAGAACGGGTCGCCGGCGCTGCGGCTGGCGGAGGCGTGGGCGTCGCTGCAGGAGCGCGCGGCGCATCTCGAGCGCTCGCTCTCGGCGGAGACGCGAGTCAAACTCGACCTGCTCTCCGCGCTAGGCGACGCCAAGCGACAGCTGCATATACGCGAAGGTACCATTCGCCTAATTGTAAATACATGTATTTCAAAAGTAATAAAATTAATTCAACCTAATTAACTTCTTATTAATCAATATTATAATGGTATAAAAAGCTGACTGTGAAATAAAATAATGAATTGACTTCGATTATAGACACAGTGTCGAGACAAGAGAAAGAATTAGAAGAGCTAAAAGCGCAAATGCTGGCTGTGATGCCGGCCGAGTACATAACGCCTCTAACCGGGGGCAAGTCCAGGCTGCGGATGTCCGACGGCTCGCCGCTCGACCCCAACGCCTCCGTGTACACTCCTAAACAGCTCATATCCGACGCCTAGGCGCGGCCCCGCCCCCGCTCCGCCCGCCCCGCCCTCGCCCCGCCCACTCCGCACCGGGCACAGGTACGAGCTTCACGAACGAACACCAATGTCGATGTTTGTAAGGACGATCTTTTGATCTCAATTACTTTTATGTAGGAACAGTGTCCATCACGACGTCCTTACAAACATCGGCATTGACAATCCCAGGCGACTATATCAGAGTGTTTATTTTTTCATCGATGAAACATTTGGATTAACTTTGTGATACCTATTACTCGGAAATGGTTTGTTGCTTGATGAAATTTTGGATAAAATTAGATTAATTTTAAATACGCACACGTTTGCTTTGAAACTGAAAGATAAAAAAAAAATCATAGTAATTGTCATTCAGATTGAAAATGTTTAGTTTCACAGATATCTTAGTATACAAGCTATGAAATATTAAAATCGAATTTTCTTGAAACTAGTTATAACCGCCTGTTGGTTTGCAATGCCACAGAGCAAGAAGTCTATTGTCCTCTGTCTACTCTATCACAAAGGTATGTTACCATAATTTTTTTTCAATATTTTTTATAATAATTTATAGGATGAATATAATTTCATTGAGCAACATATCAGTACAGTCCTTCCATCGTTGCATATATTGCTGCTGCGGTCTAGTGAAAAGCGTGTTCTTTTAAATTTTTATGTGATAAATTGTACAAATATAGATCTGAAATGAGTCTTCTTCATTATATAGTTCTATTGACTTTTTAGTCCAATTGTCGGTTTAATGTGTACGCCCTCTGTAGCGACACTACTTTCTTGTTGATTAAAAAATTGTTGAGAAAAATATTAAAAATACTGACACATCATTTGACAGTTGTCGAACCATGACAGTTGTTTTTTTTTAGTCATTTTGACTGATTACAGGCAGGCGTCTGACTTAGGTAGTATGTGTATGCAACTTTAATACTTGTTCAAGCAACATCGCATAAATTGACTTATTATAAACTTTAAAAAAATATACTAGATACAAGCAAAATGCAATCTGTTACATATACAATACTGAGAAACTTTATAATAATAATGTTAGTTATCTACAATCTCTCCAACTATAATAAAAGTACAAAAAATTATATACCAGTTATATATAACAAGTAATTAAAGTTGTGTGCATTGTAAATTTTTTTGAACTGATAACATAGCATAGTTTGTTCATACGTAATAAGTTGTATTCCCATGTGTTCAACTTTAGCTGTAAATGCGGTTCCACACCCGCGCTGTGTTTGTTTGGTCATACTATGAAATTACTATGACTATTGCTTGTCAATACACTTGAAACACTTCTTTTGACAAGAGTCAACAATTTATGTCACAAGTGTAAAGGCAGTGATATTTCATAGTGATGTACTTTGATCCAATTTCTTTTTAATTAACAACACTTAAAGTTTTAATTTTGAATTTAGAATTATTAAAACAAAATTAAATGTTGCCAACTTTTATCATTTGCGTAAAAAAAATTACTTAAATTTTATTAATGTTGTTGTGTAAAATGCAAATAAGTGTTTTTATTTTTTCTTTTCGAGTAATGCTTCCAAATGTATGCAGAACAAAAGTCTTCATAGTTTTAAGTGAATAGTCATTAGTTAATTACGATATTGTTTCAATGTGTCAATCTTAAATCTGTTTTGTTAAACACACACACAAATATGTTTCTGGTTGTTTATTTTAAATGTTTGAATATATTTGTGATTGTATTGATGAATTTGATTCAAATTGCAATAATGCAACTACATAATGAATATGTTGTAACTACATTTAAACACAAATCTTTGTATTTATGTTAAACATTGTATAATTACTTATGATTTCCAAATTTTTCAATGTTAAAACCTAGTTTGTTAAGTGCGGTTTTCTTAATAGCTGTTGCTGGCTTATAATATGTTGGTTTAAATTTTCATAATATTTCTCCATAGTTATTCTGGTCTATATACGATTATTTTATCTGTAGTCCACTGATTGATGTTTTTAATGTGTGCCAACATCACAGAGTCAACGCACATGGGATATAGCAATAAAGTTGTTGTATTTTTATTGAGATTGTGACATTGTCGACTCTAGTCTTTAACCCTAGGTCCAGGAGGTTGCGTGGTCATGTTATTGTAGCTCATGCACCTTTTGCCGCCTTTTAATGTTATTTTTAATCTAAGTTTTTTTAGACGTTTAGTTTTTTTACAATTTGAATTTGCACTGCCCTTGAAGTCAGACATCCTTTTTTTTATTTAAGGACTCTGAACTCGAAGTACTTAATCTAGTTTTTAGATTTGGATGTGATTCACCTACTAACTCGGATTTATCTTGACGTGGTCGACTATCAACAGCTTAAGCAGCAATGTATATTTTCATGAACATTTACCCCGGACACGACATGTGGGAGAAACTTTGGTACAATGGGAACGATCTGAGTTTTCACTAGTGAAACGTAAGCGATAAATGTTTGTTTATACTGTAAATGGATGCTGTAACAGCAATAAAAATCAGACTTGCAGTTGCTTTTGTCTATTCATTTTGTTACCTTAATCCTTTCCAATATCATAAACAGTACAACAAGGAGCAAAGAACTTAAAACTTAATTTGAAAGTGTATTTTCTTAACATATATCAAAGCAAATAGACTTGTACTATAGATTTTAAACTTTATTCTCCACTATTTTAAATTCCACTTATTGCTGGTATCAAGATATCAGAATGAATGATTTTACTTCTTTTTTCCTAATGTAAACTACAGGTCATTGACTAAGTCTGCAATCCTAGCTTCACTCATTAGGCTCTGTATGGCTAGTTGAAGCTGTAGAGCCTTTTTTATATCCATCTGGCGCAGCTGAGATGCAATATACCTTCCATATAAATCAAACTCATCTTCTCTAACAATCAAGTTTGTATCACTATCTCTTAATCTATCACATTTGCTGGAACTTAGCAATTTAATTTTCTTTCTTTTTTTCTTACATGAACTTGTAACTTTACCATTCAACATTGTGATATTACATTTTGAATTTGATTCAAAGTCAAAATTCAGTGTGTCAGATGTAAAAGAATCTATATTTCCTTCATCATTTGTCTGGTCCAAATTATTTGTTAACCATGGCTTGTTTGATTCACTGGTGTGATCCTGGAATAAGATTACAAATAAATTGTGAATAAAACCTAAGATATAGAATGTAATGCTACACAATTATAATCAATTCCTACTATTGTTTTGTTGTTAGTATTAATTTCTACCTATAACCATAATCACAATCTTAGTTTGTAAGTTTAGAAATATGTAAACTTACATCATAAACTGTATCAATGTCCGTTTTCTTAGAAACACTTTGGAAGCATCGATGCCAATCAGCAAACCACTTGATAGTAGGCGTGTATTTAGAGAGTGGTCCTGATCTTGTCCGTATTTTATTAATTTCTTGTGCATAAGTGGATCGTAAATTCTTTATTTTCATTTTAACTCCATTTTCATTGAGTTGTATGCCGGTACAGGACATAAACTCATCAATAATCATCTGATAAGCTTTCTTCCTCTCATCTATCAATTTATGATTTTCGTGATTAGGATTCCACAGAGAATCTTTACTAAGATAAAGTTTCACAAATTGGTACGTCTCATTTTCATCCCACCTCATAATGATCATTTAACATGTCTGGTGATTTGGTTATTGTAATGTTTATTATTTATAAGATAAGAAAATAACAAAATTGACACTGATATCCAAATGCAAGTGAATGTGCATGACAGATGACACTTGACATTTGCAATGTTGTCACTTTCACTTCGAGCAAAAGATAAGGAAAGTTCGTGTTACCAGCTATTTAATACATTCTGTCAGCTATGCTCAAAAATATAAAGAATTCTCCAAAACAAAATGATTAGTAAAAAGGGAAGAGTTACTTTTGTTTCGCTTCGATTCAGACATGATAATTGTGACGTATAAACTATTACCAGGTATATTTTTTCTGCAATTGTCACAGGAGGTTGGGAACTCATCACTAGATTAGGTTCTATTGCCAACTTAATATAATTTCTTCGTCATAATAACAACAGTTTTTGTTTTCGAAATACGTTAATTAATAAACAAACATTTGGTAATTTTAAATGTTTATTAAACAATAAGTTATACATTACTCATTGGTATTGCTTGCTTACAATAACAAAATTATACAATTAAAGTAAATAGAACAGCTTAAATAACATAAAAAAACATTAATGTGTTCTATACATACTTAAAATAATAATAAAATTAAGTACTAGGTCATTAAGAAAATATTTTTTTTAATGTGTAGCATTTTTAACTCTCATTGGATAGATCTGAAATTCTAGCTCTGCTGACAAGATTATTTATTTCTAGCTGAAGTTGCAAGGCCTTTTGTAAATCCATACTTCTAAGTTGCGAGGCAATGTATTTGCCATAGATGTCAAACTCATCTTCTAAAGCAACAGATTCTGAAGTTGAATCTGTTGAATAATGCTGTTCAGAAGATAGGCGCTTTGTTTTCTTCTTTTTAATCTTTTTAAATGTTTGAGAAGAATAATCTGCTTCTTTCTTTATATGCAAAGAAATTCCCGGTTTTGTTGAATCATATTCTGTGTCAGTTGATGGATTGAGTGGATTTGTGTCAGATTCTTCTGTATTGTCATTTGGCTGGTCTTGGTCTACCCATATCTGACAGGATGAATCAACTACAGAAGTCTCTTGAGTCTGAAATAGATTTTTTTATTTATTTAGTAAAATGTCTTTAGGCGATTAATAGCGGAGTATTTTTGTTTCACTCCTAAATTAACTGCTTTTGATAAATTTTGGAATTTGAAGGGACTGAATAAAATATTTTTATACTTACAGTATTATATAAAGCAGAATGTCGATTTGTAGGAATGTTTTTCATATATTGGTCCATTTCGTGAAACCAAATTAAGGAAGGTTCATAAATACAGTCTGGAGTCGAACATTGGATTATCTTGTGAACTTGTTGTAAGTATGTAGTCCTAAGGTTTTTTATTTTTATTTTAATTTCAGGAATACTTAAACTTTTCATTGTAGAAAGTTGAAATTCGGACGCAATATCCGCGTAAGCTTTATCTCTTTCATATTTTATCTTATAATCTGGATGTGAAGGGTTCCATAAACATTCGTGTTTTAAATAGATCTTTACGAATTCCAATGTAACGGCTTCGTTCCATCGCATTTTATAGTTATTAGTTTCACTTGAATCAAACAAAACAAACACAGTTCATACTTCGTAATTATTGATTTGACTTTGACATCAAAGTTTGATGTTTCATTTGACGTTATCATACGAATGCACATTGACATTGACAATGTCACTTAACTTTTTTACACAAAAGTAAAGCAAACAGACGGTCACAATTTTTCCATCCATGTAAAAATCTCATACTAATTTTGGCATAATTGACGATACGAAGGCGCTTGTCGCAAATACATATTCATGTTAGGCCCGCTACAGACCAGAATTGTTTAGTAAAATAATGTTATTTTTATCAAAGCCTACACCCATATTCGTACCGTTACTATCTTTTGCCACTTCCAATAAAGAAAGCGTATATGTATTTCATTATCCTAAATATTAGAGGACAAATCACGAGAAAGCGGTTCCACACACGTTTGGTGGCCACCACTCCTGAATTAGCCCAATTTTAACATCATCAGCTGTTATTGGCAAAGTCTATCATCATAAGCAATTATAAGCTTAAATCGTATGCGACTTAGTTGGTGATGTTGTTCCTCATAGTAGGAAGAGAGTTACCTATTTAGCAGGCAAAATAAAGAAGTAGGTAAGTATTGTTATACGCACTGGAGTTGAACTCTTTATACCTTTTGAAAGCGTAGTTTTTTTTTTACAATAAATATATTAAAGTCGACCACGATCCTATCACTGATAGTTAATGATTGTGTTGTGTTTTATGTTGTAGCCATAGTGGCAAGGTTACGATTTATGATTTGCGTAATTTACTTTATACAATGAAAAATTACCAGCAATGATGGAAATAATTTGAACATTTCATTATATTGCTGGTACTACAAATCGATATGCCGAGCGGAACAGTGTCGAATTTATGGCGACTTTATTTGTTTATTATACTTTTTAATCTTTGTAAAGTGGAAAAAGTAAGTTTATAAAAATGGGTTTATTGGTTTGTTCCGGTTGGACTGGACACCGCAAACAGACATACGTACAGGCAGAATAAGAGACAGACAGGACCTCATGAACTTTTTGCTCCATAACTGAGCCCGTCGCCAATTAATTGTATTTGGAACATCGTTTTGTGGTTGATACAGTAGAATGTTTTATTACAGATCAAGTACATAAGCTTGGAGCGACCAGTGGTTTTGAATTATAACAAGAAGTACGTAACCTTTTTTAATGCTTCAGCCCGTCGCTATAGCCGCGGCGACCCTAAGTATTACATCAGTGGACATGGAGAGTCTCGGGTACCTTTGGATAATAGAATTTTGGTGAGCTTCAGCTTTAGTATAGCTATTTCCTTTCTTCTATATTAGTCCTTTATGTAAAATGGCTACCGTCGTATCTAAGACCATTTTCCCATTAAATAACATGGGAAGATGAGTCACTCGGTTGCTTCTCTTTCTTCTGTTTCGATAATAGGTAATTTATTTTGTTTTAAGAAAAATAATGAAAACTACACGGGGACAATCTGGCTCTCTTGTCTACTGTCATCAATTTAATCTTGCGTTGTAATAACAAGTTTTCTGTCGAAAGCTGGACATCCACTTCTACAAGTCTTCAGGCAACACATACAAGCGCACATTCTTCGAGCTGCACTACAAGCTGTGCGACTTGATCAACAAGGACACCTTCCTCGGCAGCTCCATAAAGAGAGGAAGCTTTAAGGGAACTTGTCCTTTTCCCTCTGTATGTATAACTTATCTTTAACCCAATCTATGTAGGGTTCATCAAGTTTTCATTCTCTAGCGCCATCTATCCTGATGTCATTTCAGTCATCACTCCTTTCTTTATCATGTTACCTTTTACGAAATTCATTCATCATTTCCTATCATAACTACTTAGACTTCCATCCATCCGTCCATCCCTTTCTATGATAACTATTTAATTCTTCATACAAAAAGTCACCCTTAACTTAGGGCAGGCTCTGAGCCCCTCGCTGGGGACGTATAGCGAGCTGATGATGATATTTAATTCATCTATTTATTCGTTCAGATTTCTGTTTGTAAATTAGCAATCTTGGTTTTACAGGGTTCATACCACGTGGAGAATATCACAATCCCTATAGAGAGTGTGCCAGCCTCCCTACCGCTTAAGAAGGGCAGGATCTGCGTGAATGTGTCGTATGTGACCGGAGACAACATGGGCAGTGGCTACATTGATTTAGAAATCAAAGAAAAGCAAGTACAAGGAATAAAGTGAAACCTTGCGCTGGATTATAATATTTTGACTTTTTTGCATGAATAAATTTTCTGATTTATTAATATGTTTAGGGGTTATTTATTTATCTTTATCTTTAAGATACTGGATTAGAACCTGACGTAAATGAAACTCGTCTGTTCGAAATTAAATAAATATTATTCTATGTTTGTATAGTGTTTGGTGCGAACATTAATCTGGATTTCTAATTCCGCTATACTCATATTGAAACATATTGTGGTCTCTATTTTTTAAAACAGAATGTAAGGGATAACGATATGCGTCAAAACAAGTGCCAAGTGTGTGTTTTACACATGTAAAAACCATATAATAGCAACACTAATGTTTTAAATATCTACACTTCTTTCTTTTCTTGTGCTGGGCTGCCAGCCAGTGCACAGCGAACAGAAAGTAAAGGCGCCTTGTTAATAATTTAAATTATTTATATTTACAGTAAGATTAAAACATTCTGTTATTTATTTAATAAAAAAAAGTCCTTCGAGCCGGATATGAAACAAAAACTATAGATCTTTATACAAAATTACTATGTTTTATTAATATTGAATTTGCGAAGTGTATAAAATATCTTTAGGAATTAGAAGCAGGAAAAATTAAAAATAAATATATCTTATACACTACAACAGTACTTTTCCGATTTAATAACAAAACTAACAGAAATTAATTTAAGTAAATTAACACTTAAATGAGAGTTAAAATGATTTATTATTTTGGCTAGTCAAACGGGCAGAGCTTCCGCTGGCTTCAGTGTCTGGTGGCGAGTGTGTCTCGAAATGAGCGTGCGATCGCTAATAATGGCATCACACCACCATCATTCTTTAAGTTCCACCTTCAGCTAACAATATATAGATATTATTTCTACTTACTAAGTTCATTTACGTTAATCCAAGTCAAAGAGCTTACATTTCGTTAGCTTTTTTCCATAATTTTTTTTTCTTTAGAGGATTAGTGGGCAAACGAGCGGCGAAGACACCGAGGTGATCAACGACACCCGTGGACATTTGCAACACCAGAGGAACTGCAGATGCATTGCCGGCCTTAGTTGCAATCATCGAAATTATCACATTTCTTAATTATACAGGATGTTATTTCCTTTCCTTTTTGCATTCGTTTCAGATTTAATGATTATATTCCAAAATGAGTTGTGTAATTTACTAAACAATTGCAAAATTTTGACTATAAAATTACAAATAATTTGATCGTTTAGTGAATAAATTATAAATAACAGACTAAATTTTAGTCTGATTGTTATCAAAATTATTTTATTATATTTTTGTCTTTCGTAGTGTACGTCGGCATGTCAATCTGTCGATATTGTATATACATTTTTCTCCTTTTTATGTTCTTTATCATTTGTCAGATGGAAAAGGTATGATGATAATCTTACTAATATAATAAATACGAATGTTTGGATATATTGGTGGATGGGTAGATTGTTAGAAGTGGTGGCCGCTCGCTCGTTTTACACCTTATCATATAAAAAGTTATCTCCAGAACGGCTAATGGGTCTAGCTGAAAGATGGAATGGTATACTGGTATAATGGTTATTTTATTTTCGCGCGGACATAGTCACGGATAACAGCTAGTATTATACTAAGTTTCTAATGTAGTGAGTAAAAAAAGCACATAATTAAAATTAAAAGAATACTTTGAAATCTTGTTTATGACTTCGGTTGATATTACAATTTGCTTTGGACGACTAAAGTTTACGTGCCGTTTACTATGTCCGATTTATATTATATTTCTAAACGAATTTTGTTTCAGATAAAGTACATAAGCTTGGAACGTCCAGTTACTCTCAGTTACAATAAGAAGTACGTTTCATTTTATAACGTAAGCGCGCGTCGCTACAGCCGCAATGACCCCAAATATTACATCAGCTCCCATGCAAAAACATTAATACCTATGGATAACAATGTTTTTGTAAGTCAAATTGATAGTTAAAAGTTTAAATAGTTAACTAATGTCTAATACACCACTGGCAAAGTCTTGTTCTATCCTACCAATATGTACAGTCGCTTTCGTTGGCGGTATTCCAGTTTAAAAAAAAATTGTGTTGCATCTCGCATGGAACTTCAACTTTGTCCTTTTTTACAAATTATTATTCTGCTATAGACGTTTATTTAAATAAATACAATTATACGTTACTTTTACTAAACTCAAGAGTATCATATAATCTACGACATTTTTACAACATTTACTAACGTTTATAGTCTCAAAGCGTACGGGGCACTCAAACTATTGTCAAACGATTGTTGCTCTTAAGTAATACCTCTCGAAGGCGCTTATGTAGAGTTACGTCATAGTTCTTATACTAATGCGTGCTTTGTTGCAAGGTTAATACCTATTTCTACAAGTCATGGGGCAACACGTACAAGCGGACATTCTTTGAGCTGCACTACAGGCTGTGCGACTTGCTCAGCCAGGACGCATTCCTCGGCAGCTTCTTGAAGAGAGGAAGCTTTTTGGGGTCTTGTCCTTTTCCCCCGGTATGTAGCGTAATTAAAATGTTTTTGTATATCACAATCTGAATGAGGTAATGAACTATCTAGTGACTGAAAACTGATTCTGCAAAGTATAATTTGAAATCCAAGATTTTTTTCATCACTTACAAGATAAAACTAAGTATTTTGTATCATAAAATGGCGTAATATTTCAGGGTGAATTCCATGTGGAGAACTGCACCATTCGTGTTGAGGACGTACCAGCTACTCTGCCGTTTAAGAAGGGCAGGATGTACCTTAATATAACATATATGACAGGAGAGAGTTTGGGCCACGGCTACATTGATATTGAGATGAAAGAGAAGCGAATGTAAGAAACAAAATAAAGTCAAGCGCGCAAAAATTTACGGTTTTAATTATTTTTTTATATACGACGAAATTATTCTGTAGATTGAGTGAACAATATGAATTTCTGGTATGAGTACATAAATATAAATATAGAAAAAAATACACGAATGGAATTTTAGTTAAGTAATTCCGAGGTTGCAGGTATTTTTTTAAAACTGGAACACCGCGAGAGGAGCCGACTGTACATATTACGGAGTTTTCGATCGAAGTTAACTAAAGTTTTAAGAGTAAACGTCACAAAACGTGCAAGACTCTTCACTTCGCTAATAAATTAATGTCCAGAAACTTTCATTCGATGTAGAATTTGATACGAGACAATATTTTATAGTAAAAATCAGGTACATCGCGCAGACGTCCACCATCAAACAGTCGTATTGTGTTGACCGGACAACAATAAATCTCATCACGGATAAATAGAATTCTGTTCAAGAAACGTCTAGCTTAGATGATGTATCGTTCAATAGCTGTACTGGATACATCTTAGTTTTATTATTAATAATAGAGAGCGCTTCGAAATTTTTTATTTTTTCTTATCGTAATAAATTTATATGGCAATTACTATCAGTTTCACAATAAGATTACTGATATGCAGGCGATCACAGAAGTAAACAGAATAAAGTCATTTCTACTGCTTGCTATTTTAAAACCTCTATTGGTGATAAATTATTTAGCACTATTAATAGTAGTGAATTGAGTGAGCTATATGAAAGTGCACTGTAAAATATTCGTTTTTCAGGTGACAGGTGACAGGCGACATCTGACAGGTGACAGGTCAGTAAACAATGTAGAGCACACCTGTCGCTCTGTCAGTTTCGCATCGCTTGTTATTTTTTAACGTGTCATTCGATTATGTTACGTGTATAGCAACTCTTTGTTTACATTGTTGGAAAAAAAAATAATAAAAAGTTTTATGGTATTGTTCAAATGAGAATAGGAAATAATTGAATATCTTTGGTTTCTACTGAAACATCGAGTTTTACGTACTTCCAGTAGCATATTAAAGAAGAAAAGAAAGAAAGAAATAAAACATATCGCCACAAAGAGAAAAAAAATATATAAACTGTCAATATTAAAATTGTTTTTATTAATTTATAAATAATTTTCATTCTATTATTAAATATAAACATTTTACGGTACATATTTTTAGCAATTCCTCACCATTATCGCTAAGGAGTTTGATGTGAAACAAAAATGTCAAGTTTTCAGTAAATATTCGCCTCTACTTAGGAGTCATTGAGTCTTAATAACGTCGGAGATTCGCCTTGAAATTACTCAAAAGCTCTTCGTCTCCGGAAACAGATGGAATTTGGATAATTTGGATATACCAAGGGATGGGGAAGGCTCGAGGTGTGGGGAGGGGCAGGAAGGCTGTCTACGGTTCGTAGTGACATGTATTAAATTCCATTATAGTCTGGCATTTCGCCTTCAACTCAAAAGTCTTGTATTATCTTGAAAGTGACACAATTTAAATCCTTTATTTTGTTGTCTTTCCTTTAATGTTTATTATATGCTCTTTATTTTTCATTACAATAAATTTAGCGAATGTTTTCAGCATAATAACTATTAGTATACTAACTTTCATACTTATTATTTGGTTAATAACAAATCAAATAGAAATATTTGACAACTCACACCGAGTCAGGTTGGCCGAGTGGTCTAAGGCGCCAGATTTAAGCTCTGGTTCCCAGTTGGGAGCGTGGGTTCGAACCCCACACCTGACAGATACTTTTTTTTTAAGCCTATAAACTATAGGACCTAAAGACTTGACTAGAAATATCTATTACTACATAGGCGAGCATTAAAAAACAATCATAATTTTTAACCCCAAAGGGTCTAAAGTGAAGTATAAGTTTGTATGAATAAAATTATGTTTTTACTTTAGTCGTTTTATTTCGTTGTGTAATATTTTCATCAGTTGAATCATTTTGTAGCTAAATTAAGCATACAACGACACGGTTGCAATGAGTTGTTTGTAACAGAAATTCGTAGCCGAGCGTCGTCCATTACAGTATTGCCGCTGCGAATCAAACCGACCGAGAGTTAAACGCATTTCGACCGTTCCAATTACACATTTATCACGTGGATAGTTAATTAATTCTTGATGGATATATTGTAGAATTTGTTAACAAGATT